ATTAGTTAAAGAAATAGCAGTACTTCGACCTCGTGATATTATAAATCGTGTTCGTTTTGAAATAGGGCCGAAACACCATATATGATAGTTTGGGAAGTAAAGCTATTAGATCACACAACGTTAATTTTTCGTTTTGCTCAAAAATCCGGCTGGTCGGTCGGATTTTTATGTTTTCTTTTTAATTCTGAATAATGAATAATAACTCTAAACACCTATTTAATCACGAAATGAGGGAATTAATCAGGATAATATTATGTTAAATCGGCTAGCAATTTTGACGGTACATTTGGGGCCCTTATTTGTAATAATTTTCAAATATTGAGCCTTTATCTGTAATTATTTTCATTTTGAGCCCTTATTTGTAATTATTTTCATTTTTGGGCCCTTATCTGTAAATCCCCCAATAAATAATATGTACGTACGTACGTACTTTAATAGCAACTATGCTATGCATACGGCTGAAACTCAAAATAAGCCGCTACTGATTTTGGCTTATTTGTCGTAGGTTGGAATAGAATTTAAGTTTTATTTGGAATTTTTAAGGTCAGGGTTAGGATTTTAGTACCGTAATGTCGCGAAATAACGCGCAGGAGCGTTATTTAGAATAAGTCTGAATTAAGCTTAATTTAGGCCAAAATTTGTTCACCCCTGCGCGACAATACGGTATAATTATTCCGTTCTAATCTAAGTGGATCCCGAACCCTATTATGGTTCCATTCCCACTTACAACATCTTTATTCTATATAAAGTGATTGAGGTTATTAATTCTTTCGTACGTACGTACATCCCGATAGAATGAAACAAGCTGGTATGTATGTACGTACGTACGTACGTACTAGTTTATGCATTATCTCTACATGGAAATATTAATTTTTAGATTTCATGAACTGCATGCGTGTACATATAAATAAATAAATAAAAGCTGAAATTTGAGGACACTACGTTTCCTCTCTAACACAATCTTCGCCACTATATTAACCCTTTACGTATTAGCTTAAATACATTCAAAAAAAGACTACAAAGCACTTCAGCCAAGTTTATATGGCGTCGAATAATTACAACCCACTTAATAGCACAATTGACGTAATTGTGACTTCATTAATTCCATTAATTATAATTGGCCTGTTTAAATGCTTTGAACGATCAAAGCAAAGAGAATTCTCCGCAATAAATATTTTTGATGCTATTGTTTTTTTATCTATCATCATTTATCCTATAGTTAACGTATATCAATGGTTTTTAAACTTTTCTAAAGAGCAGCAAAAGTTTTTTGTTACCTTAACTACAAGCAGTATTGTAGCTATGATAATTTATTACTTTTTTTTTTTTAAATTGAAACGTTTAGATTATAATCATATAGCTAATCATATAGCAGAACTGTGTTTTAGGAAATTTACAATTTATGCTATCATTCTTCTTCTTAGTTCTATATTAGTATTATCATATAATATGCTTATTATTGGTGATACCTCTATTGATGATAATAATAATAATGAAACTTATGTTAGTAGATTTTGTGCTGAAAACTTCGGCTTTGACAGATGCTATACATTGAAAATAATTAATCGTGTTGTATCTTATACTGTAATAGCATTTACTGGAATTCCGTCTTTATATAATTTGATTTTTACCCTTAAGTGGTCGCATGATAAGTTTAAGAAGTTTTATAGTTGGCATTATAAATCTAAAGCTATCATATTTGAAAAAATACGCAATTTCCTTTGTATATTTTTCCTAACATTTTATCCAGCAATTATATCGGGATATTTACTTAGTACAGATTCTCTTACTACAAAAATTGCTTTCACATTATGCAGTATATCTTTTAGTAGATTACTTGAACACTTAGGCGACAATGAACCTAAAAAAGTCAAAACAATTATTTCTTTTTACCTAAATTTGCATGCTGATATGGTTGAAAAATATAAAATAGAAAAGATAAAAGACAAATTAGAAAAAAACGTGATAATAGAACTTGAAAAAATAACAAATCAAACAGATGAAGATACAAAAAAGAAGATCAACATCATAAAAGAACCGCTAAGCAACCTAAAAGAAGAACTTGCAAGTATAATTATAGAATATAAAATAGGTCAAATGGTGGATCGAATGCGTGAAATAAATGAAGCACTGAAGTATCAGCAGAAACAAGTAGAATCATTAAAAAATAGACTGTATGAAAAAACAAATGAAAAAAAGAATGAAATAGTGGATCAAAATTTATAAAGTAAAATATTTACTAGAGGAGATAATTAAGGAATTAGAGAAACTAATAAGTGTAGATAATCTAACGAATGAATTAAAAAGACTAGAGTCAGAAAATGAAGATCTAACGAATAAATTAAAAAGAAATAAGACAGCAATACCTTTTTATGTTACAGTTCACAAACTTTTAACATGTATGATTCCAAGACTAAAGTCAAAAAATAAAGATATGACAAATGAACTACAAATGATCAAAAAAGAACTAGAGGAAAATGAACTACGAGTACGAGAGACGATCAAAAAAGAACTAGAGGAAAATGAACTACGAGGACTAGAGACGATCAAAAAAGAACTAGAGAAGAGAGAAAGTGAAGAATATAGTGAAAATCGAATACAAACAGTGGAGAAACTAATAAATGAGATAAAAATATGTGAAATAAATAAGGAGAAAAATCAAAAGGAGATTGATATGAAAAATCAAGAGGAGATTGATATGATAAAACAAAAGATTGATATGATAAAAAAGGAGATTGATATGATAAAACAGGATCTACCAAAAAATCCCGATAATCACAACGTGAAAATTAATGATTAGTAATCACATTAACAATTATTGTCGCAGATCATAATGAAATCGGATTAAAATGAAATGAGGGGTTTCTATTTGACCCTCTAAAACCCACTTATACTTGTTTATTATAAAACCTGCTTCTAAACCCTAATCCTAACCCTAAAAAAATGCTAAAAAAATACACCCCAAAAATTTGTATTTTGCGGTGGCTTGTCTATTTTACACTATCCCTCATTTCATTTTAATCTGATTTCATTTTAATCTGCCACAATTATTGTCAGACTTTATATTTTTAATTGTCACATAGCGTGATGTCAGTATTATAGCACGGCCACTATTGATCATGGGTATTACATCGCTTATGTTATAAAATTACTTTCATTTTATTACGTCATTCATGCTTGTTATTTTATACGGCATACGTCATCCATACTTACACTACACAACCGGGGTTAAATCACCACCCAAAAAAGTTTCAGAGTAAAAAAATTTACGATATTAGATTAGAGTCTATAATTTGTTATTAAATTTTGACTTGAGAATATTTCTTATATCAAAATTTTAAAAGGAACAATTTTTATTAGTATGCAGAAGGCGGTTTCATAGACTAAATTTTGAGATATGTGCGATTTTTAACAAAACGAACGTTTGTTTTAAATTTCAGATCGTGTTACGTTACACCTGATCTTAAATTTTGATTGGCCTGTTAAAATTTTGATTGGCCTGTTAGGATAACTGAAACTTTTTTGGGTGGTGATTTAAACCCGGTTCACTACACTAGCTACACTACACGAATTAAAGAATTTTAAAAAATATAAATGGTATAATTTATGATCAATGACCGCCGAACTATAATTCCAATATTTTAGGTAGCGTGATAATTCTGAGATACATCACGTGGTACAGTGAATTTTTTTTGATTGTCCGCTTCGCGGCATTCTCTAATCAAAAAAATTATCACTGTACCAACGTGATGTTATCTCAAATTATCATACTATATTATACAATTATGGCCTGTCGAGATTTTGGATGTCGGGATATTGCAGTAGAACCGAAAAACAATATATTAAATTAATCAAAAATATAAATCGAAAAATTTAAACAGATTAGCATATCACATTTTTGGATATGCTTAATTATTTTGTATTTCTAATAATGGAATGGAAAACGTTATATTAGATTAATTCATCCGTTAAGTATTAAAGTTGATAATTACATATAGATCATAAATTTGTTTAGTATCACTCTAATATAAAATAGTTTTGCGATAAATTCACATGCCATATATTTCGAACAGAAACAACCGAAATTTGACCAATTTTTTGAGTCAAAAATGAGGGATATTTATATTTAGGGGTAATTTTATTAGTAAAACATAACAACCTTTGTCAAATTTTCAGTTCCAAAATGTTCCGAGGATAAACCAGTCCTCGCTGTATGTCCCTGTAATAATATATGTAATTCATTCTAAACAAATGTAACGTTATTCAATAAAGACCGAGGCCAGGCCTCACTCTTAAAAAAAAAATTTTTTATCTTCAAAATCTGAGGATTGCTTGGAGATATACAGTAAATAAACTTATTGTCAACTATTTAAATTTAGATAGGTATAAACGCTTGCATAAATTAAAGTTTTGGTTCAATAATTATAAATTTTATAATAAGCCCAGGATCATTAGTAGATATAGTCAATTCTTTCTAAATAAAACTTTAAATTCTGATCCAAGTATATGTTTGGTCTCTATAAATGTGATTTTTCTTAGTTGTTCTCTATATGTTTGGTCTTTATAGCGATTTTTCTTAGTTGTTCTCTATATGTTTGGTCTTTATAGCGATTTTTCTTAATTGTTCTCTAAATACAAGTTGGCTCCAACTAGTGAATTGACTCAACAAAAAAATCATTGCTCGATGATTGACCAAAAAAATTTTTACTTCATTGATCAAATCAATAATATAAACTTTATCGAGTATTATATATTTATAAGATCGATTGTATATAATCGATCAATTATCAGGTCATTAATTGATTGATTTTATTTTATCTATTAAAAAAAAAATCAAAAAATAATAAGGCCACACAAACTAATACTTTCGATTCTCATATCACCAACCTATAATTCCTAACCATAACGCTAATATATGATCTCACCTTATGTTTGTTTACATTTTTTTTGGCCAATCAAAATTATTTTGCGATTATATGGTACCTAAGAAAATATTCATTAGTAAAAGAAAGTATCAAATTGCCTGTAAATCTAAAATGAGATTTTGCAAATTTCGAGTAAATTTCGGCGCGGAAATCGATTTGCATAAAAATTTTTGGGAGACTTGCATATCACAAAATTACCCGAAATTATTAATCGATAAAACAAAGTTCTAAGTAAGTCCGAACACAATAAACTTGATGATTTCAAAATCATATTTGTTTAGATCTTTTTACTTCAAAGGTCACCATCCTATATGTCGTTTTTTAATTGTATTCATTGTAAGGCACAAACATGAGGTTGGTCCCAATGTGAGGCCAATTAGCATTTTCAGGTTACTAATCATTAGCAAACTTTAAATGCTAATTGACTTCACGTTGAACCAACCTCATGTTGGTCATTCACAATGAGTTTTAATTTGTGTTTTATTTCAGATTTTGGTGGTTATATCAGGAGGATTAAGTGTGACGATTATATATGGATATGGTTTCTTTTCTAAAGTCAAATTAGTTCAAGCTTGCTTAAAGTTAATATGAGTGATGACTAAATAAGGCTTATTATCATTTATTGTGGCTGAGTATATATATACTTCAATTAGGCGTTACTCACATTACGATAAATCTGTGCAAAAGAAAAAGTTTAATGCAAAATTAGAAACTGTTACTTTTGTCACATGATATTAGTGGAGGATTTCTATTTGTTGTTATATTAAAAAAATAAAAATTTTGGATTCCCACTCTGCTGACCTGGCCAGGCTATGAGAACCTATTATATAATTTTATGTGGCCTAATGTATTCTATATGTATAATTTTCTTGATCGATCAAACTCAACTATCTGATCGATTAAACGTTATTGATCAATAATTGACCTACTTCAACAAAATCATACTCCACTATCAACTCGATCAATAATCGATCATGATATAGTCGAGTTAATTCACTACAGCGTGAGCAACAATTTACATACTAGTAATAATATAATAACCTTGATTTAAGATCAAATTTATACTTTATTCGTTAATCGATATTATACCAAAAATCAATAGTATAATAACAATTATAATACAATATATTAACTAATGTTATTGTACAATCGTCCTCCCATACAATCACACAATTGAGCACATAGTAAATTTTTTTCAAAATGTGCTTATATAGAGGTTATGCTTATATGGAGGTCTTTTTCTTATAAATTAAATCATAGTTTGGCCTAAACATAAATGTGATTACATATGGTGTGATTATATGGGAGGTGACTATATAGAGAGACGACTGTACTATAAAATATTTTTTCCAACCTCATACTTTCTTTAGCATTCCCAACATTAAATGACATAAATTACCTATTACAGTCGTACTCCCATACAATCACACAGTTGAGCACATAGTAAATTTTTTTCAGAATGTGCTTATATAGAGGTTGTGCTTATATGGAGCTCTTTTTCTTATAAATTAAATCATAGTTTGGCCTAAACATAAATGTGATTACATATGGTGTGATTATATGGGAGGTGACTATATAGAGGGACGACTGTATCTATTTGTTTTATTTTTACACTACTATTCCAGTCTTACGCTATAATTTTTACAATGTAGCTTTATTCAATAGCAGTGTAGTTTTTAAACTCTATTAGAAATAGTATATCAATCATTAAAATATTTTATTAAGTGATTTTTTTAATGATTTTGTTTTGTAGAATATTAATTTTTAATATATTTAAATAGTTTACCAATAGTAATAAGTTTTTCGCTAGGAAGAGCAGTTGAGTTTTGCTAATTGATAGTAGTAAAAATTATAGCGTAAGACTGGAATAGTAGTGTAAAAATAAAACAAATAGATACAGTCGTCCCTCTATATAGTCACCTCCCATATAATCACACCATATGTAATCACATTTATGTTTAGGCCAAACTATGATTTAATTTATAAGAAAAAGAGCTCCATATAAGCACAACCTCTATATAAGCACATTCTGAAAAAAATTTACTATGTGCTCAACTGTGTGATTGTATGGGAGTACGACTGTAATAGGTAATTTATGTCATTTAATGTTGGGAATGCTAAAGAAAGTATGAGGTTGGAAAAAATATTTTATAGTACAGTCGTCTCTCTATATAGTCACCTCCCATATAATCACACCATATGTAATCACATTTATGTTTAGGCCAAACTATGATTTAATTTATAAGAAAAAGACCTCCATATAAGCATAACCTCTATATAAGCACATTTTGAAAAAAATTTACTATGTGCTCAATTGTGTGATTGTATGGGAGGACGATTGTACAATAACATTAGTTAATATATTGTATTATAATTGTTATTATACTATTGATTTTTGGTATAATATCGATTAACGAATAAAGTATAAATTTGATCTTAAATCAAGGTTATTATATTATTACTAGTATGTAAATTGTTGCTCACGCTGTAGTGAATTAACTCGACTATATCATGATCGATTATTGATCGAGTTGATAGTGGAGTATGATTTTGTTGAAGTAGGTCAATTATTGATCAATAACGTTTAATCGATCAGATAGTTGAGTTTGATCGATCAAGAAAATTATACATATAGAATACATTAGGCCACATAAAATTATATAATAGGTTCTCATAGCCTGGCCAGGTCAGCAGAGTGGGAATCCAAAATTTTTATTTTTTTAATATAACAACAAATAGAAATCCTCCACTAATATCATGTGACAAAAGTAACAGTTTCTAATTTTGCATTAAACTTTTTCTTTTGCACAGATTTATCGTAATGTGAGTAACGCCTAATTGAAGTATATATATACTCAGCCACAATAAATGATAATAAGCCTTATTTAGTCATCACTCATATTAACTTTAAGCAAGCTTGAACTAATTTGACTTTAGAAAAGAAACCATATCCATATATAATCGTCACACTTAATCCTCCTGATATAACCACCAAAATCTGAAATAAAACACAAATTAAAACTCATTGTGAATGACCAACATGAGGTTGGTTCAACGTGAAGTCAATTAGCATTTAAAGTTTGCTAATGATTAGTAACCTGAAAATGCTAATTGGCCTCACATTGGGACCAACCTCATGTTTGTGCCTTACAATGAATACAATTAAAAAACGACATATAGGATGGTGACCTTTGAAGTAAAAAGATCTAAACAAATATGATTTTGAAATCATCAAGTTTATTGTGTTCGGACTTACTTAGAACTTTGTTTTATCGATTAATAATTTCGGGTAATTTTGTGATATGCAAGTCTCCCAAAAATTTTTATGCAAATCGATTTCCGCGCCGAAATTTACTCGAAATTTGCAAAATCTCATTTTAGATTTACAGGCAATTTGATACTTTCTTTTACTAATGAATATTTTCTTAGGTACCATATAATCGCAAAATAATTTTGATTGGCCAAAAAAAATGTAAACAAACATAAGGTGAGATCATATATTAGCGTTATGGTTAGGAATTATAGGTTGGTGATATGAGAATCGAAAGTATTAGTTTGTGTGGCCTTATTATTTTTTGATTTTTTTTTTAATAGATAAAATAAAATCAATCAATTAATGACCTGATAATTGATCGATTATATACAATCGATCTTATAAATATATAATACTCGATAAAGTTTATATTATTGATTTGATCAATGAAGTAAAAATTTTTTTGGTCAATCATCGAGCAATGATTTTTTTGTTGAGTCAATTCACTAGTTGGAGCCAACTTGTATTTAGAGAACAATTAAGAAAAATCGCTATAAAGACCAAACATATAGAGAACAACTAAGAAAAATCGCTATAAAGACCAAACATATAGAGAACAACTAAGAAAAATCACATTTATAGAGACCAAACATATACTTGGATCAGAATTTAAAGTTTTATTTAGAAAGAATTGACTATATCTACTAATGATCCTGGGCTTATTATAAAATTTATAATTATTGAACCAAAACTTTAATTTATGCAAGCGTTTATACCTATCTAAATTTAAATAGTTGACAATAAGTTTATTTACTGTATATCTCCAAGCAATCCTCAGATTTTGAAGATAAAAAATTTTTTTTTTAAGAGTGAGGCCTGGCCTCGGTCTTTATTGAATAACGTTACATTTGTTTAGAATGAATTACATATATTATTACAGGGACATACAGCGAGGACTGGTTTATCCTCGGAACATTTTGGAACTGAAAATTTGACAAAGGTTGTTATGTTTTACTAATAAAATTACCCCTAAATATAAATATCCCTCATTTTTGACTCAAAAAATTGGTCAAATTTCGGTTGTTTCTGTTCGAAATATATGGCATGTGAATTTATCGCAAAACTATTTTATATTAGAGTGATACTAAACAAATTTATGATCTATATGTAATTATCAACTTTAATACTTAACGGATGAATTAATCTAATATAACGTTTTCCATTCCATTATTAGAAATACAAAATAATTAAGCATATCCAAAAATGTGATATGCTAATCTGTTTAAATTTTTCGATTTATATTTTTGATTAATTTAATATATTGTTTTTCGGTTCTACTGCAATATCCCGACATCCAAAATCTCGACAGGCCATAATTGTATAATATAGTATGATAATTTGAGATAACATCACGTTGGTACAGTGATAATTTTTTTGATTAGAGAATGCCGCGAAGCGGACAATCAAAAAAAATTCACTGTACCACGTGATGTATCTCAGAATTATCACGCTACCTAAAATATTGGAATTATAGTTCGGCGGTCATTGATCATAAATTATACCATTTATATTTTTTAAAATTCTTTAATTCGTGTAGTGTAGCTAGTGTAGTGAACCGGGTTTAAATCACCACCCAAAAAAGTTTCAGTTATCCTAACAGGCCAATCAAAATTTTAACAGGCCAATCAAAATTTAAGATCAGGTGTAACGTAACACGATCTGAAATTTAAAACAAACGTTCGTTTTGTTAAAAATCGCACATATCTCAAAATTTAGTCTATGAAACCGCCTTCTGCATACTAATAAAAATTGTTCCTTTTAAAATTTTGATATAAGAAATATTCTCAAGTCAAAATTTAATAACAAATTATAGACTCTAATCTAATATCGTAAATTTTTTTACTCTGAAACTTTTTTGGGTGGTGATTTAACCCCGGTTGTGTAGTGTAAGTATGGATGACGTATGCCGTATAAAATAACAAGCATGAATGACGTAATAAAATGAAAGTAATTTTATAACATAAGCGATGTAATACCCATGATCAATAGTGGCCGTGCTATAATACTGACATCACGCTATGTGACAATTAAAAATATAAAGTCTGACAATAATTGTGGCAGATTAAAATGAAATCAGATTAAAATGAAATGAGGGATAGTGTAAAATAGACAAGCCACCGCAAAATACAAATTTTTGGGGTGTATTTTTTTAGCATTTTTTTAGGGTTAGGATTAGGGTTTAGAAGCAGGTTTTATAATAAACAAGTATAAGTGGGTTTTAGAGGGTCAAATAGAAACCCCTCATTTCATTTTAATCCGATTTCATTATGATCTGCGACAATAATTGTTAATGTGATTACTAATCATTAATTTTCACGTTGTGATTATCGGGATTTTTTGGTAGATCCTGTTTTATCATATCAATCTCCTTTTTTATCATATCAATCTTTTGTTTTATCATATCAATCTCCTCTTGATTTTTCATATCAATCTCCTTTTGATTTTTCTCCTTATTTATTTCACATATTTTTATCTCATTTATTAGTTTCTCCACTGTTTGTATTCGATTTTCACTATATTCTTCACTTTCTCTCTTCTCTAGTTCTTTTTTGATCGTCTCTAGTCCTCGTAGTTCATTTTCCTCTAGTTCTTTTTTGATCGTCTCTCGTACTCGTAGTTCATTTTCCTCTAGTTCTTTTTTGATCATTTGTAGTTCATTTGTCATATCTTTATTTTTTGACTTTAGTCTTGGAATCATACATGTTAAAAGTTTGTGAACTGTAACATAAAAAGGTATTGCTGTCTTATTTCTTTTTAATTTATTCGTTAGATCTTCATTTTCTGACTCTAGTCTTTTTAATTCATTCGTTAGATTATCTACACTTATTAGTTTCTCTAATTCCTTAATTATCTCCTCTAGTAAATATTTTACTTTATAAATTTTGATCCACTATTTCATTCTTTTTTTCATTTGTTTTTTCATACAGTCTATTTTTTAATGATTCTACTTGTTTCTGCTGATACTTCAGTGCTTCATTTATTTCACGCATTCGATCCACCATTTGACCTATTTTATATTCTATAATTATACTTGCAAGTTCTTCTTTTAGGTTGCTTAGCGGTTCTTTTATGATGTTGATCTTCTTTTTTGTATCTTCATCTGTTTGATTTGTTATTTTTTCAAGTTCTATTATCACGTTTTTTTCTAATTTGTCTTTTATCTTTTCTATTTTATATTTTTCAACCATATCAGCATGCAAATTTAGGTAAAAAGAAATAATTGTTTTGACTTTTTTAGGTTCATTGTCGCCTAAGTGTTCAAGTAATCTACTAAAAGATATACTGCATAATGTGAAAGCAATTTTTGTAGTAAGAGAATCTGTACTAAGTAAATATCCCGATATAATTGCTGGATAAAATGTTAGGAAAAATATACAAAGGAAATTGCGTATTTTTTCAAATATGATAGCTTTAGATTTATAATGCCAACTATAAAACTTCTTAAACTTATCATGCGACCACTTAAGGGTAAAAATCAAATTATATAAAGACGGAATTCCAGTAAATGCTATTACAGTATAAGATACAACACGATTAATTATTTTCAATGTATAGCATCTGTCAAAGCCGAAGTTTTCAGCACAAAATCTACTAACATAAGTTTCATTATTATTATTATCATCAATAGAGGTATCACCAATAATAAGCATATTATATGATAATACTAATATAGAACTAAGAAGAAGAATGATAGCATAAATTGTAAATTTCCTAAAACACAGTTCTGCTATATGATTAGCTATATGATTATAATCTAAACGTTTCAATTTAAAAAAAAAAAAGTAATAAATTATCATAGCTACAATACTGCTTGTAGTTAAGGTAACAAAAAACTTTTGCTGCTCTTTAGAAAAGTTTAAAAACCATTGATATACGTTAACTATAGGATAAATGATGATAGATAAAAAAACAATAGCATCAAAAATATTTATTGCGGAGAATTCTCTTTGCTTTGATCGTTCAAAGCATTTAAACAGGCCAATTATAATTAATGGAATTAATGAAGTCACAATTACGTCAATTGTGCTATTAAGTGGGTTGTAATTATTCGACGCCATATAAACTTGGCTGAAGTGCTTTGTAGTCTTTTTTTGAATGTATTTAAGCTAATACGTAAAGGGTTAATATAGTGGCGAAGATTGTGTTAGAGAGGAAACGTAGTGTCCTCAAATTTCAGCTTTTATTTATTTATTTATATGTACACGCATGCAGTTCATGAAATCTAAAAATTAATATTTCCATGTAGAGATAATGCATAAACTAGTACGTACGTACGTACGTACATACATACCAGCTTGTTTCATTCTATCGGGATGTACGTACGTACGAAAGAATTAATAACCTCAATCACTTTATATAGAATAAAGATGTTGTAAGTGGGAATGGAACCATAATAGGGTTCGGGATCCACTTAGATTAGAACGGAATAATTATACCGTATTGTCGCGCAGGGGTGAACAAATTTTGGCCTAAATTAAGCTTAATTCAGACTTATTCTAAATAACGCTCCTGCGCGTTATTTCGCGACATTACGGTACTAAAATCCTAACCCTGACCTTAAAAATTCCAAATAAAACTTAAATTCTATTCCAACCTACGACAAATAAGCCAAAATCAGTAGCGGCTTATTTTGAGTTTCAGCCGTATGCATAGCATAGTTGCTATTAAAGTACGTACGTACGTACATATTATTTATTGGGGGATTTACAGATAAGGGCCCAAAAATGAAAATAATTACAAATAAGGGCTCAAAATGAAAATAATTACAGATAAAGGCTCAATATTTGAAAATTATTACAAATAAGGGCCCCAAATGTACCGTCAAAATTGCTAGCCGATTTAACATAATATTATCCTGATTAATTCCCTCATTTCGTGATTAAATAGGTGTTTAGAGTTATTATTCATTATTCAGAATTAAAAAGAAAACATAAAAATCCGACCGACCAGCCGGATTTTTGAGCAAAACGAAAAATTAACGTTGTGTGATCTAATAGCTTTACTTCCCAAACTATCATATATGGTGTTTCGGCCCTATTTCAAAACGAACACGATTTATAATATCACGAGGTCGAAGTACTGCTATTTCTTTAACTAATGGCACAGTAAATTTATAAGATATGATCCACGTGCTTTGAATACCTCCATAGAAGTTAAGCAAGAGGAATCAGCCTTGTTAACTGAAATAGTAAAAGGGTATGAACTGGTTTAGTTTGTAAAACAAATAGCCAACAGTTTATTTTGTTTGTTCGTTCGGAACTTATAAGGAGAAGAAATCGACAGAACAACTATCCAGGACCGAATGAACATTTTTATGTTAGTAAAATCATATCGATCTGTAATTTTGTATTGACATGGTTTTTGTTATAAGCTGGCAGGTTTTAAGAAATATATCAAGAATTTTAATGGAATAAATTTACAGCGTAAATAACTGGCTGACGAATCGAATATTATATAGTTATTGTGCATTTGAATTTATATTCGAATTGCTAATAGATAACAATTAATGACTATATTCAAATCATCGAAACGTGGCCTAAATCATAGGTTCTTAAGCGCATAATTATTTTGGGCCCTTATCTGTAATAATTTTCAAATATTGGCATCTATATGTAATTATTTTCATTTTGGACCCTTATTTGTAATAATTTTTGTTTTTGGGCCCTTATTTGTAAATTCCCCTTATTTATTTCTATGTAAATTCCAGATCCTTTCCTTCACTTTATTGAGATTTGATAATTTAAGAAATTTTTTTTCAATGTGCTACCAGTTTATGCGTTATCTTTATCTTTATATAGAGATTGAGATTTTTAAATTTCCTACATCGTACATACTTATCTGTACATAAATTTACATTTTTAGCTGACCTTTTGTACTCACCACAACAATACGTTTTATCATTCAAATATGTGACCATATTTGATATAATTTATTTCGTCCAATCAAGAACAGGATTTCGATATATCCAAATAGGACCGTAGAGCAAATCCGAAAATTTACGTTGTTTAGAAAAATTCATTAGTTTCTATATTTAAATTTTCCGTTAAAAAAAGTTTACCAAAAAAGCTAAGTTGTTTCACGCACATTATTGTTTCGCTGTGATGAAAAATGGTAAGATGAACTAGAATATAAGGGAAATATAGTATACGGCAGCTCGCATGAGATGTAACTAGTTTTGTGCGTACGTACGTACGTAGTAGGTTCATTGTAATTTTCCTTATCCGGCAAACTCTTATGATCATAAATAAATTTCTGCACGTTATTTTTTTCATGTGATACTATGTAATCGTGTTTATTCAAATTAAAACTCAGTCAACCACTCCCTACCAATCAAATTTGCGAGTACGGTAATTTAGCAAATGATTGGCTGCACATGCCGCAAAGCGGCACGTGTTCATTTGCCAAATTACCGCTATTCACAAATTTTTGCCCAATAATGTATACTTATATGCGAGACAGGGCCCCCGGACGTTGATAGCCAAAATAATTAGCAAAAATAGCTAGTGAAATTAACAAATTTAGCAAATAGCTATATATTATAAATTTATATTTATTAAGTATAAATTTTTCTTATCATGTATACAGCAAATTCAAAATAAAAAATAAAAAAAAATAAAAAAAAATAAAAAAAAATAAAAAAAAATAAAAAAAAATAAAAAAAAAGTATAAATTTTAATGTAATCTTCTGCGAGTTCTTCGTCTACCATTTCAGTGAGTTCTCCGGTTATCATCTAAATATGCATATAATTACTTATTTATGTAAATCAGTTCAAGAACAAAGAAAATAATCACATGTTTAGCGCAAAAGTAGCAAATTTCGCATCTTAGCACAAGACAATTGCTGTTAGCTATTTTGCTAAAAAAAAAAATAGCGCTATTTTAGATGCTACAAAAATCCGAGGACTCTGATATGAGAAAGGAGCAGGCAGGAGTTGTGACTAGCTGCCCTCGTTATTACATCATTTAAATAGTTTATTGTTGATATGATCAAGAGAGTTTTGCCTATATTTTCCTAATGCCATCGCCAGAAGTTTACTGCTATGTGCATCTTTCATTAAAAACACTTTTTTTAATCTCGAATTTATTGGCAACTGCCGATTGTTCTATTTCGGTTGAAAAGCCTCATAAATTATAATCAAATATTTCATAGTCTCGTTTTGGGATGGGTTCGGTCAGGTCATGACCGGTTGACCGGTCAATAATCGTGACCGATAATGACCGGTCAGAGGTGGTTAACCGCGTACACTTATTTGCGCCGGTGATACAAACCAAATAAGGAAATTTTCTTATGTAGATCGCAAGATCAGGTGTAAC